TCACCCACTTGATTTGAAAAGCTAAATGGACCAGTAGGCATAAGTATAGACTTATATGCCATAACAAATGGCCCAACTGATTGTTCAGAGGCCTGGAAGGAGAAACCTGGGAAGATCAAAGATAATAAAGTTTGAGGAAGAGGAAGGTAAACAGATCTTTAAACGTGAGCACAAAATGTAAAGATCTCTGTATTTTATTTTAATGCTCACCAGAAAGCACCCATCATGGAAGAGGCACTAGGCAATTAAGTAGACAGAATGTCTATGCCAGTTGCTGATGGCAGACTGTGTCATCTGCCACTCCAGTACTGGCACTGCACTATGTGTGCATGAATGGAGTGGCCATGGAGGTAAGAATGGAGGGTGTACATGGGCCCAACAATATGAGTTTCCACTAAGTTTGATATGAATAATCTCACTGCTGAATGTCCAATCTACCAAGAATACATGAGCCCTCACTGTGGCACCATGCCTTGAGGAATCAAACCAGCTATTTGGTGGCAAATTGGTTACATTATATCCCTTCCATCATGGAGAGGGTAGTGATTTATCTTGACTGCACTCAGCACACACTCCAGATATGGCTCGCATTTCTTGCATGCAGAGCTTTGGCCAGCACAAATCTCCAAAGACTTGTGGAGTATTTGATCTGCAAGCCCAGGATGCTTCATGCAATGTACTAAATTGTGCCCCCTCTCCCAAAAAAATGTATGTTGAGCTAAACCTTAGTACCTCAGAATGCGACCTTATTTGAAATTACGGTCATTAAAGATGTAATTAGTTAAAATGAAGTCATATTGGAGTCAGGTGGCCCCTTGATCCAATATTACTGGTATTATTGGTGTCCTTATAATAAAAGGAACTTTGAACACAGACATTAACACAGGAAGACTGCCAGTTGAAGACAAAAGCAAGAATCAGGGTGATGCTTCTACAAGCCAAAGAACTCTAAAGATTGCCAACAAGCCACCAGAAGCTAAGCAATAGGCATGAAACTGATTCTCTCTTACAGCCCTAGCAAACTAACATAGCATATAATGTCTCATTAGACCAAGGGAGAAAATTTGTAGCAAAAGAATTACAGAAGTGGCAATATGACCATGGAATTTCCTGGTTTTACCAAATACTGCATTTCCCAGAAGCTGCCAGCCTGATAGATTAATGGAAGATCAATGATCTTTAAGATGCAGCTGTGGTGTAATTTAGAGATGCTGTTTTGTAAAGGTGAATCACCATCCACCAGAATGCGGTATACAACCTGAATCAATCACCATCACATGATGCTGTGGTCACAATAAGTAGAATATATGGGTCTGGAAATCAATAGGTGGTTTAGGAGTAACTGTTTACAATGCTTCACGTTAAATCACTTGCCGTTTTCTGTGCTTCCCATTGCCACAACTCAAGGCTCTGCAGGTCAAGAGATCCTAGATGGTGAATGGTTCCACCAAGAAACATAGCAAAAGTCCCTTGTCTAGCTACGGCTGATCATTCCTGAGATCCTTTGCCAAGAGTGCAGCAGACGAGAAAAAGAGTTATGTTCCTGAATGCAAATCAAAACCACAATGATATACCATCTCACACCAGTCAGAATGGCTATTAAAAAGTCAAAAAATAACAGCTGCTGGCAAGGTTGTAGAGGAAAAGAATGCTTTTACACTGTTGATGGGAGTGTAAATTGGTCCAGCCATTGTAGAAGACAGTGTAGTGATTCCTCAAAAACATAAAGACAGAAATACTATTTGACCCAGCGATCCCATTACTGGGTATATATCCAAAGGAATATAAATCATTCTATTATAAAGACACATACACGCATGTGTTCATCACAGCACTATTCACAATTGCAAAGATATGGAATCAACCTAAATGCCCATCAGTGATACACTGGATAAAGAAAATATGGTACATACACGCCATGGAATTCTATGCAGCCATTAAAAAAAAGAGAGAGAGATTATGCCCTTTGCAAGGACATGGATGAATCTAGAGGCTGTTGTCCTTAGCAAACTAATGCAGGAACAAAAACCAAATACGACATGTTCTCACTTGTAAGTGGTAGTTAAATGATGAGAACACATGGACACACAGAAGGGAACAACACACAGTGGGGCCTACCAGAGGGCAGAGGGTGGGAGGAGGGAGAGGATCAGGAAAAAAAACTAATGGATACTGGGCTTAATACCTGGGTGAGGAAATAATCTGTATAACAAACCTCCATGACACAAATTTACCTATATGACAAACTGCACATAGACCCTTGAGCCTAAAATAAAAGTTTAAACAAAAAAGAGTTATCTTCCTGATCATCAGAGGGAAATTGGACTACTATTAAACAATGGGTGTGGGAAGAATGTGTTTAGCACCCAAGCGATTCACTGGTGCATCTCTTGGTATTTCCCTAAGTTTGATAATATTTAATAGATGGACAAGGGAAGAAGCCACAGACTGAGAAGGACCTGGTGACCCAGGGCTCACAGCCCTCAGGATAAGTGTTTGGATAGCCTTATAGTTTAAGCCACCTAAACCAGCAGAGGTGTTAGGGTAAGGAGAATCAAGAACTGGAGGTAGAAAAAAGAGATTATCGGTGTACGACTGCTGTCTCAAGACCAGATGCAGTGGTAGGGGCTTAGTTTATCCACTAACCTTCCTCTTGTATGTTTCTGCCGGAAAAGAATCCTGGAAGACCTTTCCCCGGATGTAGACTTTTTATACAAAGCAAGTAGATTTGAGTTTTGCAAGATGCGGAGTGTAGTGGAGGCTTTGGTGCACCACTCACATCACTTCCTTGAGGACTAAGGTGCTCATTGTCCAAGCTTTTGGGATCATTGCCTGTTGGATGTTTGTAGCTGAGACTCTACCATAAATCTGATTCCAGCCAAAGGTAGCTGTCTCACCTAGGGTTATCCCACAGGATGATGTCTAATTCTTGTCTAACGAATATTATACCTTCTCTTATTTTACTGAGGTATAATGGTTTTACTTTTTAAATATTTTTTGGTTTTCTTATCCTGTAATCATCTCTATTTCTTCAGAGTCTTTTTTTATTTTAACTTTTTTTCTTCTTTGCCTTTATATTAGGGGATTTTATCAAACATTTGCGAATTCCTTGGCAGTCTGTCCAGTCACATTTAAGGTGCAAATAAGAGACCTTTAAAAGCCACCTGCAAGCTCTGGCAGAGGGGATTAGCATCCGATGGGTTTACTCTGAGGTTATCGGAGTTTACTATTTCACTGGAGAAGCCCCCACCCCCTTTCAGTATATGTATTTTCTTTTATCTTGAGCAGATCCGTTTTTCTAGAAAAGGAGTCCTCCATTGTTCTGTGTCTATGAGGGATGGACAGGTAGGCTATAAAACTGGCTCCAAGGGCTGATAGTGAGGTAAGAGGGTCTCGTTATTCAACATGTGAACATCCATGATCTTTTTGATTGCTTGTGGCTCCTCCTTTCTTAGGGATTTCCCTGAGCCACAGTCTCTGTGAGAAATGTCTTCAGAGAAGCAGCCTCCATTCTTCTCCCTTAGTTGGGTAAAGTGTGGTTACTAGGCTGCCTGGGAGAGGGGAAGGAAACTTGGTATAGTCTTTCAGTTAACACTCCCATTTTTGCCTTCCCAGTGCCCATTTTCAGAGCTACTTCAGCCTACAGTCTGGAGCCTTTTTGGAATTGTGCCACATGAATCACATCTTGGTTTTTCCACACTAAACTTATATTCTGGCTCACCCTACTCTGCTAAGTCAGCTACCTGCCACTAGTCCACCAGTGTTCTATCTTCTAACCATTCTCCTTGCCCTTCTCTATTGATGCCTTTATTTCCTTTTGCTGTCACTTGGTGTGATTTCAAGAGAGATCAGAGGTAAATACATGTGATCAACCCTCCATGTTTTATCCCCACCTATTTTATAGATGGAGAAACTAAGGCCCCGGAAGGGATTATGACTTGCTGAGGTCATACAGCATTACCAGGCTATGAATAATATTTTCCTGTAGATCCCCAGGCCAATGTACTTTGTGAAAAAAACAGAAAGGTATGAAAACAGGAGGAATTCAGGAATTCAACAGTGTGGTTTGGGGAGGGGGTATGTATACAGAGAGAGCACTGGTAGGGGGATCCTGAAATAAAATGAACAGGTATGGCCAGAAAGAAGGGAGATATTTTTATCCTTAGGTCTTGGGAGATATTTTTATCCTTAGGTCTTTTGGCTTCTTATATTTGTCTTCAAATTCTTTCAAGATATTTATTGTTTATGGGACCCTCTTTCTGTGTTTCCCACTATTCTATTGCAAGACAGACTTCTCACTATTTCTATTCTGTACTCCATTATTTCCCAGAAATAGACGGTATTTTAAAAATGTGGTTCTACTCAAATTTCCCATATCCTCAAATGCTTGCAATGACACCCCATTGCCCATGGGATAAAGTGAAATCCTCTCGTTTGTCAATAATTTTGAACTAGGTAGGAAGAGAGGATGACAAGGAAAAGTAGAAGGAAGAGATGGGAGTAACTTGACAAAAGAAAGGAATAAGTGCTGGTGATCAGCAGAGGTTGAAGATGACTCTGAGGTAATAAGCTTGGGTGACTCGGGGGATTTAAAACAGGAAAGTCAGAGGTGTTTTGAGCTTGGCTTTAAACACGACAGCCACACAGAAATGCCTAGCAGACCGATGAAAATAGGGGGTGAAGGATGCATCAGAGGATCTCAGGATTGGCAAGTTCTTCTGTGATTCCCAATCCAGTGCTGAAAGAAGTGAGAATATGATAGCTCCAAGGATCATCAAATCAAAGGGAATCTCTTTGAGATGGAGATATTTGAGTGCGTTTAAGTAGGGGAGAAAGAAGAACAAGAGGAGATGGGGCTGACTGGTATTTCTAATGTATAAAGTGCTCTTTTTTCTATCAAACCTGAAGCACACCTAAAACATAATTCCCTGATTCCTACTGTAATATTGATAACTATATTCGTTTCTTACTGCTTCTCTAATAAATTCCCACAAACTTAGTGCATTAAAACAAGACAAGTTTAAGTGCAAGCACTTCTGAAGGCCAGATGTCCAAAATCAGTGTCACTGGGCTAAAGCCACGTGCAGGCAGGGCTGGTTCCTTCTGGAGACTCCAGGGGAGAATTTGTTTCTTTGTCCTTTTGGGTTTCTAAAGGCTGCCTGTACTCTTTGGCCTGTGACCTCTTCCTCCAGCTTCAAAGCACTTCAACCGCTTGTTCCATTGACAGATCTTTTTCTGATTTTGAGCTTGTTGCCTCCCTGTTATAAAATCCTGGTTCTTATCCACCTGGACAATATGAAATAATCTACCTATTTCAAGGTCCTTAATTACATCCGCAAAGTCCATTCTGCCATGTAAAGTAACATGTTTATAGGTTCTGGGGATTAAGATGTGCATATGTTGGGAGAGACCATTATTCAGCCTACCACACTTTCTGAGCTATGTTGATATCACGGAATGACTTAGTGAATGAATGATTGAAGACTTTTTAGCAATTCGACAATGTTTATTACTAAATTTATTATGTGTTTGGTCATGTTTTACACTGTTTTCAGAGGATAACTAGGAAACCAGTGTTTATTCTACAAACTTGATCCTGCTTGGTCTCAAAGCAAATTCTCAGTTATATTAAAATGGCAGCCAGTTCATTGATTACCATGGAATTAAAACAAGAGAAGGTGGCAAGCCTATTTTCATCATTCTGATGTAAAGCATTTGACTATAATAAATACAAGCAGCAAAACAAAGACCCAGATGTTCAATGGATCTGGGTCTCGACTGGGCCCTAATTTCTCATACCCTCTCCCCTTAGCCTCTTTTGTCTCAGCTGACTGGTTCTTGCCTTGGTCTGGGATGTATGCAGCACCAATTCCAGGTGAGGAATTCCCAGTCTTTAGGTGGGAGAGTGGGGATTTGGATGGCTTTGTCATGTAGCTTTTTAAGCCTTGTCCACAGATGCCCAGAGTGCATGCCTCACAATTGGCTGTGTCATGGGATCCTTCCAGGGCCACTTCATGGATTACTGGCATTTCCGGAGACTTCCTCGCACCATTTCCATAGTATTTCTTCAGTATATGCTGCACCAGGTTGCTCAGAATCCTCATGGTGCTATCCGAGGAGAACTCAGGCATCTCATATTGGGACCAGGAGCACTTCTGGCACCTTTGGCCAAAGAGCCTCATACGCACCTGGCCCTGAGATGTCCAGTGCTCCCAGGACGTGTGGCACAGAATCTGCACCTGGGCGGAAGCCCAGCTTCGCTGGCAGGAAGAACACCGGAACCTGCAGTTAGAAGGAAGATGCCCATTACGCCTTCATCTGGTTGTTAACCTGAGGGAAAATGGTCCTAGCCCCTGTCTCTAAGACTCTTTTCCATTTGAGAAAATTCATGTGATTTAAATTGTCCCAGTCATTGATAAACAGGAACAAGAAGGATTATGTTTCAGATAATACTGAGTATCCACCCATATGTTATACCAAGTCTACCTCTTTGGTAGTAAAACATCTCCAGATGCCTCTGAGGGAAAATCACGTCTGCCATCTTCCAGAGAAACTTGTTCCTGATTTGGGTCATAGAAAGCTTTGGTAAAGTATCTATTTTGAGGCATACACTATAAATGGTGTTTTACTATTTTATCTCATTTCATCTGTGAAGTAAACACTATTAAACCCAATATCCAGATAAGGAAACTGAGTCATGAAAAGGATACACAACCTGCTTAAGGACACACAGGGTAAATGTTAGAGGCATGTTGCTAATCCCAGGCCATCTGAAATGAATATTGTTTACCTGCTGTAACACGTTGCCTCTGATGAGTAGTGTAGCTAATCTCTCACACCTGGAGAAAGAGACTGCCTCCCTCATACCTAAGTTGAAGATCCAAGTCCACAGTTTACATCAGGAAGACCTTGGGCAAAGTTCTTCCCTTCTATAGCCCTCATTGCTTGAATCCATAGAAAAAAATTCAAGGGTTATACTAGCAGCATCCAATGAGGTGATGTATGTGAAAATACTTTGTAAACTACAAAATGGTTTTCAAAAGCTGATTGATATTTTCCAAAAGTACACTGGTAGGTTGCTTTTCCGATCTCAAAATGACAATCAAATCAATTCATCCCAACAGGAGAAATACTTTCTTTCTGTTTGGAGGAGTGCCAAAACGTTGTAAGACATCATGAGTCCCTCAAAAAGCTTTGGCTGGTGTGGAGAGAAATATTTACACAGTTCCCTGGATTAGAAGGCAGAGCAAAATGACTGCTATATGGGCTCTGACAAGTGACTTGAGAACTGTTCTGGAGAGGTTTGGGAGGCTTTATTTAAACAACAGATTCTGCAGCTAAAAACAAGCATATACTGTATTTGATACAATGTACAATAATACGCACATTATTTATAAATTTATTATTCTGAATTACATAGTACATATGTATATATAATTATATATCATTTGTGTATACATACACACATATATTTTATCTTATCCCATTATCTTATGGGAATGTATAAGAAGGAATACTTACTCTGCCTAGGAGAACCAGAGGATGCTTTTAGGAGGAGGAGGCACTAGAGCGGGCCTTGGAGGATAAGCAGGGAGGGGTGAGGGGAGCGTCTGCTGAACAAGTAGAACTCCATGAACAAGGGTGTGGAAGTCTGAAAATGCATGGCATGGCTAATAGTCCATAAGGAATGGAAAAGGCCATACCTGAGGCAGGATGGGGCAGGCAGGTAAGCTGAGTAATAGGTGAGATGAAAACTAGACTGAAGGTCCTGTGTGTCATTTAAAAATAAATTTGATTGTCCAGGTCAGCAATTCTCACCCTCCTATCATGGGCAGGGAAACTGGTTCCTGCAATCTGGAGGCTTGCTGGGGGTTAAAGAGGGAAGTGGTGAGTAAGGGAGGAGTATTACTTGGTTACTTCATGAAGTGGGTTTTAGATTTAGTTTTTGCAACATCATTCTCTCCTATTATTCCCAGGCCTTCAGTAAAGCAATGTTCGGAGTAATTGCTTGATCTTAGCCAATTCTTAGGATATTTAAAAAAAAAAAAAAAAAAAAAAAAGACTCCGTCCCAGGCTTGTACTGAGCAAGGCCAAGGCTTGGAGAGCTGCTGCAGCTGGGGAAAGCTGGTCGGGACTGCTGGGGAGACTGCAAAAGACTCTGGAACAAATGAGGTGGCGAGAAAATAGAAGGGCAGATTTACGGAACAGGGGGCCTTCTCCAGGGTTTTCCAGAAATATTTATGGAGGGAAACCTAGTAAAAGAAGAAACTTCCTGCAGTTAAACAAAATGGAGGTTTGGAGTTGTCTTATCATTTAGACCCTAAAGAGTACTATGACCACAATAGGATGGAGACGCTGGCGACATTTACTGCTTCAACAAGCTCTCAGAGGAATAAATCATGCTAAGCTGAGCCTGAGCCTCTGTTCTCCGAAGGGCTATGGCCTAGGAAACCCACACTCACCAGCCAAATGCTCTCTGTTGGTATTGCTTCCACCCTCGAGCCAGGCAGTCTAGCTGAAGGTTTCCATCCAACTTCAGCGTCCATTTGGCCCAGGGTTTTGCCTCTTGGATTAGTTCTTGAAATGTCTGCTCCCAAGTCCGGAGATCTACAACCATTTTTTCTCTCTGAAGCTCAGAGAGCACCTTTCAGGTTTGCTCGTTTCTCAGGAAGAGACAAACAGTTTCAGTTTCGGTGTTCAGTTCAGTTTCTGTTTGTTTCCGTGTGTGGACAGGAACTGTTTTATTTACTGTCTGGGGACACAGAACAAGTCTTTGTTCGGAGGACAGAGAGCAGCAGAACTTTTTTAGCTAATAGGCCTTGCTGAGAGAGAGAGAGCTCTGTTCTAGATTCTGGGTCACATATAAATTCGCTTTTATTTTATTTCTCTCATTTTTTATAATAGGCAAAGCACTATTTTGGCACTGGGATAAAAGAGTATCCTGTAGCTCAGAAACGGTTCCTACCCCCACAGACGCTCACACCCTGGTGGAGGAGACAGGGCGGTTAGGAGCAGAATAAGGGAGCACGAGTTTCACGCTCATCTCACGCACCTGATGAATCCTCGCCAGTCCCCCGAGGTTGGATTATTCTTGGAATTTTGCAGGTTAGCTGCACAGAGAGCTGGGGTACTTTGTCCAAAGACCCTAATGAGCAGTAGAAGTGAGACTTGAACCCGGGTCTGTGTGACTCCAAACCTGCCATATTTCCGCCCACCTCACTCCCTGAAGAGAAGCTGAGAATGGCATTTCAGGTTCCAGGCTGGCACACTGGAGCCAGTGTCAGAGGAACCCAAGGGAGATTTCCTGGGTCCTGAGGCAAGAGGTCAGCTGCGGGAAGCGGTTATCAAACTCTGCCCTTTACTCTGTAAATTATCTGAAAGGGCAAATACACACAGGTGTGGGGGCCGTCTTTCAGTGGTAGGATACAGAGAGTTCCCATTTTGGGGTGAGGGATTGAGACCAGATGACCTTTAAAGACACTTGTAAGTCTAAAATGCGGAGATTCCAGAGAGTAAGCTTTGTCCTCCTGGGGCTTAAATTCAAACAGGGGAGACAGGACAAGCAGGATGCTTAGGTCTTTAGAAGCCCCGCTATGGCTTCTGTGTCTGAGACAGGATCAGCCTCAGTCTTCCTGGGTTTTCTAGGCTTCTATGTGCCCTGTCAGGGACTCAGAAACACCCTCTCTCTTTCCTTCCCTTCCTGGATACCTATGTCTATACACATGATATAGGAAGCTCTAGGAACTCGGAACTGGATCCACAGGATATTAGAGTTGGGAAAACCCTTAGAAATCAACTTATTCCTTTTCCCTTTAATTTTGATACATGAGAAAACTGAGGCTGGGCATGGTGGCTCATGCCTGTAATCTCAGCACTTCAGGAAGCCGAGGCGGGTGGATCACTTGAGGTCAGGAGTTTGAGACCAGCCTTACCAACATGATGAAACCCCATCTCTACTAAAAAAATATATATAAAATTAGCCAGGCACGGTGGCGCATGCCTGTAATCCCAGCTACTTGGGAGGCTGAGGCAGGAGAATTGCTTGAACCCAGGAGGCAGAGGTTCCAGGGAGCTGAGGTCATGCCATTGCACTCCAGCCTGAGTGACAAGAGCATAACTCTGTCTCAAAAAAAAAGAAAAGAAAAAAAAAGAAAACTGAGACCCAGAGGAATAAGATCTCCTGCCTAAGGTCACACAGCAAATTAGTGCCAATACAGGGCCTGGCTCCGGGATCTGCTCTCTTGCTCCGCTTATGCATAAATCATTTCTCTACCCTTTCTCTTCACTTTCCTCTGGGTTCAGGATCCCAAGTCCACTCTATTCTGTATCTTCAGAGTGTACCTTCAGAGAGTCCCCTTACCCCTGACATCTCAAATGCTCTGTTTTTCCCAAAAGGACACTTGACCAGTCCATTGCACACCCTCATGATTTCCTTCTGCCTCTCGTTTGTGTGTGCCCTTTGATACACACAACCGTTCAGGTCAGTCTGGTCCTTTGCTTAGGGGGTCAGCAGGAAGATTAAGGGTAATGTGTGTTGAAGAAACACACTCAAAGTGCTTTTTCTATTCTGTCACCCAATAACAATCAACACACAAGATTTCTAACCTAATATGTGGAGGGTTTCCTCACCAACAAGCAGTCACTGAATTCTGCAGAAGACACCAACGAGATGACCTCTTATTCATTTCAATTCTAATATTATCTATTCCAACCCAGCATGAGATCCCATGGGTGGAGGACCCAGTCCACAAGACTGTTCCCCTACAACTTCAGACTGGGGCTTGGGGCCAGTTGAAAACTCCACATTATTTTACCTGTACTTCTGACCAACTGGTTATACATTAGGATTCCCTCCTTAAGTTCGATTAATTGGCTGGAGTGGCTCATGGAACTCAGAAAAACACTTAACTTATGTGTGCCAGTTTATTATAAAAGAATTAAAGGGGATACAGAGGAAGAGATGCAAAGGGAAAGGTATGGAAAGGGGCACAGAGCTTCCATGCCCACCCTGGGCACCCAATCCTCTAGGAGCCTCCTTGTGTTCGGCTATCCTGAAGATGTCTGAACCCTGTCTTTTTGGAGCTTTTATGGAGACCTCATTACACAGGAATGATTGATGAAACTATGACCATTGGTGATCAACTTAGCCTTCAGCCTTAGAGATTAGGGGATGGGACTGAAAGTCCCAACACTCTAATTCTGCCTGGAGCTTTCTGGTGACCAGCTCTCATCCTGAAGTGACCTGGGAGCTGCCAGCCACCTGTCATTTCATTAGCATACAAAAGGATGTCTTCAGAGATTCTAAGGATTTTAAGAGTTGTATGCCAGGAAATGGAGTCAATGATCAAATATGTATTTTACAATATCACTTTGAGATTTGAGGGCTGGATGAAGCCCACTACCTACCTTCCTCATCACCAAGAAGGAACGGAAAAAGAAAGAGAAGGAACAGAAGACAAGACACTTCCTGCTGCAACCCTACAATGCACTTAAGCCAGTTGGTGGGCTGTTTGTTTTCACCAAGGCGTTGTAACTCCAGAATAATAGAATTGTGGGACTTGGTCATTGAAAGAGACCTTAGATATCTTGTGACAGCCCCTCCAATTTCACTGAGACCCAATGAAGAAAATGACTTACCCAAGGAATGCAGTGTGATAGCTGCAACCTTCGAGCTTTCAATTGTTGAAGCCTTATCCCAGATTGGTTAAAGAGCTGCTGAGAGACAGCTGGGAAAAAAAAAAAAAAAAAAAAAAAAAGATCCCCAAAGGGGAAAAAAAAAACTAACAAACAAACAACAAAAAAAAAAACCTGATGAATTCTGAAAAAGGGAGTCATAGCAAAATTTAGATTCTTAACAGTGCAGAGCTGAAATGAATCTACAAGATCTTCTAATCCTGGGATGGCAAGCAGTGTCTCTCCCCTTTTCTTGTCTAAGACAGACATTGCCAATCATTCTTTTCACCTTTCCCTCAGGGTCTGGATGTAACTTAAGAATTTCCCTCATCACAGCGTTCTAGGCAGTCCCTAGAAACTGACTAGTATATGAAACATTTTTGCCATTTCTGCAATGGTCCAACAAATTACAGAAACTGAAGTCAAGATAGATTTGGGTTAATCAAGGCTTAAGTTCAGTTTTTGTAACCTTAGGCATGCACCCGTTTTTGGAATATCACATGACCCATCGCAAATAGGGCTAGCACAAAACTTAACGCGTAGAAATATGTTCTTCTTGGGGACATTTTAGGCTTGGGAAGAAAGGAGGCTAGACAAGAGTGATAAGAATTGGTGGATATCAGACTGAAAGAGGAGATGAAAGTCTATGGAACTTGGCTGGCAAGGCGGGCTCTTCCCCCAGGATACTTGTCTAACCTCTGTCTTGGTGGCCAGTTGCTCTGTAAAAGGCGAAACAAGAAGTAAAATGAAGTGTGACACCCAGAGCCAACTGCTACTCAGGCCTAGGGGCTAAGCCTGCTAAGAACACCATTCAGGAGAGCAAAGATTAAATTAAAGATAAAGTCTGAGAAATAGCAAGAAGAAATGTATAAAATCAAAAGAACTAAAATAAAAACTTACAAGTTTCCAAAGGGGCCGTTTTTTTTCACAGCTTCTGTGAAAATCTGCTTGGCCTCAGGCCTTTTTCTGCTCTGTTCCAAGGCTGTGGTGAACATAGGTGCCCTACATATGCAGAGTTTTTAATCACCCCCATACCAGGCCAATGTCAGGAAACTACCAGGCCAAAGCTATACTCTGTAAATGAACTTTTCTCCTGTCCCTGATTCACTTTACCCATCTCTCACTCCTGCCCTCAGGGATCACTTTTCAGATTAACTACTAGCAACAAGTTCTTGCCTCAGGCTCTACTTTTAAAAGAATTTCAACCAAGACAGAGGGCAACTTATTTTCTTTTTCTTCTTCTTCTTCCATGTGTAAAAAAGGCCGCTTCCAGTCTGACTTGTAAGAAGCTTGGAAGTCATCATCCCTATCCTCATAACAAGAGAAAAGCTGAACAAACTGAAAATCAACAACTCTTCTTAAGTCCATCAGAGAACTGAAGTCACAGGGCAAACCGCTACCCTGAAAACTGGAGCGATAGATGGGCAGATACAGGGAGTCACAGCTTATCAGAGTCAAAGTCCAGGAACGGAAGTTCACAGCCAGAACTAGTACTGGTAGGGTAAGAACACTTTAAACTGAAATTGGCAAATTACTGGAAGCTCAGTGACAACAAGCTTGAGAATTAAATAACTGGGGGGCAGGGGCTCGGTTTTAGGAGAGCCCTCACCTTTCCTGAGTTTTACCTCCAGGAGCCCCACCAGGTTGTCACTATGAAGATAGAGAAAAATCTTCTTATGCTTTCATTATGTGAGGAGAAAAATAACCATTTTTGTTAACACTCAGAAATCTCTGTTCTCCCTAACAGTCTGCCCTCAAGGGAAACTATTTCACCAGAGTAACACACTTGAGTTTACCAATGCCTAATCAACCTGAGAGAAGGGAAATGTGAGCAATAGGAACTGCCCCCACTTGTTTCGTGTGTGACTTCCTTTCTGCATGGTAATGAGGACATAGCCCTCCATGCTTGCAGGGTCAGGAAAAGACAGTGTTGCACAAGCTCAACGAGGCAGGGCTGCCTGCATGCTTTTTTCTAGGAGAGGAACCAAGTCCCACACAGTTCAGACTAATTCTCTACTCAGCTAATAATATCTGGGAGAGAAATAAAGAATTCAATCAACCATCAAAATTTCTAAACATATTACAATATTAATTAAACCACCAAGCCGTGGAAGAGATTTTAAAGGTTCCCTAAGTTCCATTTATTACTTGCTGGCTTTGTAATAGTTAACACCTAAGTTATAAGTAAAAACTTGGATACTATTCCCAGAGTTAGTCAATGGAAAAAGCAATGAACTTCAAATAATAAGACAAGGTTATCAATTCCACTTCCAATACTTACAGAGTTACTTAATCTCTGTTAACCTTAATGTCCTCGGCTGTAAAATTGAAATAATACTCATTCCATTAGATTTAATGATATATATACTAATATGACATAGATATGGACTGTAATAAAAAAAGAATTATTTCAAAAAAGAAAGACTATGAAGAGGCATAAGGTAATAGGACTTAAATGGAATACAACATTTGAACTCATTATTTAATGAATGAGAAAGAGATAAGTGCTCAC